AAATATCTACAGTATTTGTATTAAAGGTATTATTAAAAGTTCTAAGTTTAAATGCTGGTAAAAGATTATAAATACGGCTTTCCTAATAACCCAACCATAAACATGGCTTTACTAATAATCCAATCATTATTTTAAGAATATGAAGAACTAGATTCAAGCTGCTGATGTTTGTAATAATGTTATGAAGTCAAACACTTCAAAATGTGGAATTCAGTTGTCTTGTCCATGCATTTCTTTGTTGGTTTACCCAAATAAATATCTTTTAAAGATCTAATTCCTGCTCAGTGGATTTTCTGCCATTACTAATTTCTCGTGCTGAGGTCTAGATAAACATCTTTATAATATGTGTATTTTGATTCCTATTTTCATAAGAATACGCAGTTGTAACCTGTGATGAACCATTCCACAGAATTTCGATAGATGATCTGACTTGAGAAATACTGAGCCCAGCACTTGGGAGGCTACAGTAGGAGGATTGCAAGTTTGGGTCCAGCCTGCACAATTTAGTGGGACCTTGACTCAAAAAAAAAAATTTAAGAAGTTGGGGGAGGGGAGCTAGTGCCCGGCTAGCTCAGTTGGTAAAGCATGAGACCCTTGAAAACGGTGGGGCTGAAGATGTAGCTCAGAGTGAGACAGGTCCTGGGTTCAATCCACAGTACTTAAAAAGAAATTGTTAATACTCAAAAGTGATTACAACAGTTGAAGAAGCAAAGAAATAAAACATATACAAACACCATTTTCTAAGCCAGATGTACACTGCTTGCCCCTGGCTAAGTCATCTGATAAACCCACGGCAACCATGCTGTAACTATTACCTTGTAACCCCACAAATTCTTTCCAGTGATATATCTATACTGTACACTTTAAAACATCCTTAAATTCTACCCTGCTAATCACTGGGTCAGTGAAAAACCTACCTCTCTTTAGTCACCGTGATGCCCACTGTACCCACCCACGCAGGCACCCAAGTCTCACCTCCCCCAACCCCATCTCCCTTTGAAGCAGGACAGCAATAAACGACACACATTTTCAAAATCAGTGGCATCACCGCGGCCCACGAGCATGGGTAACGAATTACAGGAAGCAATATAAAAATAAGCAAAAACCATCAATGTTCACACAAATACAAATCCTTTGTTGAAGTCTAAGGGACAAAGTTATAGCAATAGCCTCTTCCCAGCCGGAGAATTTGCTCACATAATTGCATAGAACTCCTTATCTTAGTAATTTCATCAGGAGAGTAACAAAGGTGTGCCTGATTTCTATCTAGCTTCTACAGAACACGCTAACTGCGGACATCACACCATGACTAAGGGCTCTGTTCTCAGGCCCCTCCCCTCAGTTCTTCAGCACCGGACTCACTTGGAAACAGCAGTTTTGGCTGAATGGTCCAGAGCGCTGGACTCTCACTTACAAAACCAAAAAAAAATTTACCATTATCTTACAGAAAAAGCAATCAAACATGCATGCTGTGGATTACAACAATTCACACGGAAAACATAATTATATTATTTATTTCTCCAGCTATTTGATTTTAATTCTCCAGTAAAGCATGAGCATAGGTCTATCTTTAGTATGAAAAAAATTCTGGTAAGTGGAAAGCTTGCTTAACTCCCGATTCACAAACATCGAAGTATTGGGTTTTGATATTCAGTCTGGTTTTTACTATATATCCTGCCAAGTTCTTTCTGCTTGAGAACCCCAGACGAGGCGCAGCTTTCCTACGGGTCAGTAAGCACCCACCTCTTGACATCCAAGTGCTTCCTGACAACGACATTCCCAGTCCTTTCTACATTCACTTGTCTCAGTCAAACCCAGGGCTGAGTGCAGAAGGCCTCTTGTTCCACAAGCTTCTCTATGTCCAGCTTTTCTATGTACTGGAGGAACTGCGGGTCCAGTTGGTAATCACCCACAGAATGGGACGAGAGACATCACGACCCAGGGCCACCTCACATCAGCAGCGGCTTTGCTAATGACGTTAAGAACAAAGGCAGACGGAAAATTTTCTATTGTCTCAATTCTGAAAAGGGTTTAATGATCCCCTTGGAACTGATGATCTACACAAGAGGCCTGAGAAGTCCTTTCTGTCAGAGGCCCAGAGAGGGGGCCACGGTGGAGGTAGGTAATATTCATGCTACATGTATGGCTTGCCTGACAAGAACTTAAAAAAAAATTTTATTTGATTTATTGAAGGACAGAGCCAACAAAATACCTTTTGGGGAGAAAAGAAAAAAGAAAAAAAGAAAACTACCACCTTCCAAAGTAAGATCAACTGCTAAGAATAGTCAAAAGGTGAGTCTAGCCGATCGTCATTTTGACCTTGCTTCGTTTTAATTCAGGAGACTATTTAGAAATGTAAGGAGCAACCCCTTTCATTCGGCTCAGCTAGCAGAGCTAATAGGCTTCTAATTAATTTCCAGAAGATTGCTGTTATAACTAACAGGTTTTAAACATTTGGTTGATTGGGGAAAATGAATTGAATATAATGTATTTGATTTGGAAAATTAGTTTTCATTCTATGTGCTTACCATAATAGTGTTTATTTTAAGTTTACATGATTCCATTAAGAGTCCCAGAACACACCAGGTTGTTTTCATCCCTATGGAGTCCAATCCAACTTAAAAAAAAAAAAAATCAATTTACATTTAGATTTTTGTTGGCCTTTATTTGAAGGCAGGTTAAATTTATTTCTGTGGCTCTAATAAAATCTTTGCTTGGTAACATAGCGATGGGCCCCAAATACTTCAGAATGATCCCGGCGATAGCTCAGTCAAAAGCCCACTCATCGAATGCAAATCCTCCCGAGAAAGGCTCTGCACACAGAGCGAGATGAACCAGCATGGGCATTGTTTATGAAGTTTCACTTGATTCCTCCTGACAACCATTTAAACAATGAATGTTGGGAAATGTCCCTCAAAGAATCAACAACAATGGTAGGGATCACTGCTTTTCTATTTGGCTAATACTATTTTTAAAAGGAGAAAATATTTCTTCCTGAAGGGATTATGGGAAGCCTTATTAAAGACACCTGCAAACAAAACAAGTGACAATAGATCTTTATCATAATTGATAACTGAGTTATCCTTCATATAAAACACCTTTCTCGGAGACAATAACATCAAGATTTACCTTGCTGTAGATTCAAGAAATCGGCTAACTGGGACCAGGAGTATTCAACAATGGTTAAGTTTACCAAGGTTATGTGAGCGGATAATAAAAAAAGACACTTGTCTATGTGGTTAAACAGAAGCGCGGAGACTAGAATTTCCTCTCCCTACACTGCTGAGAATGTTTTATATTGAAATCAAGCAGCATCCATCCCTTTCCCTCCACAGGCGATACAAAAACACTGAAGGGATTCTAATTAGCAGAGCTCACTCTGCTAAGCACACAGTGGGCCAGCTGGCTTTGGAAACTCAGCCTTGGCCTAGCTTGTCGTTGCGAAGAAACAGAACCTTTCACAAAATCTTCTCAAAGTAATTAACAATGCTGTCAAAATGTGTACTTCCAGTCATCTGCATTCTATGTAAGGAAGGAAACTGTGTTAGTGAAAGACTGCTTCTGGGGGATAAATAGAATAGCAAAATCCAGCAGGACACAGTAAAAAAAAAAAAATAAGTTTGCAGAAGAAAAAAAAATCAGAGGTGTTTGTTTGCAGTAAAAGGACTCCACCCATGAGTCCCAGGTGAGTTCAAAGTTATGTGACCTTGGTACACAGACAACACTGCCTGCACAGGTGACGCTCTTTGCAGGCAGATTCCTGCCTTCCTGTGCAACTAACTACTTCCGGTCATCATCTGAGGGCTACTACTGATTTTTCTGATATAGCTTATTAAGTAACGTGGACTTCTTTTATGCCAAGGAATCTACATTTAAAGATCAACTGACCACTGAAAAAAAAGGAAGAAAGACCAGAGGACTGAGTCATAATCAGAGACCCTGATGGTAGCACTTTCTTTTCTTGGCCCCAAATTTGACACATGGTTAGAAATGCAATCAACTGGCACTTAGGGAAAGTGGAAAAAGTTCAAACTCATGACAGTTTAGCCACAGGAGCTGGGCTTTTAGAATACCCTCAGCTTTTGATAGATGCATTTCATTTCCAAAATAAACACCTGGGTAAAATAGGGTTGGCCCAGCCCAAATCACTGAACAAGAGACAGAAGTCAACAGCAGGTAAAATAAATACCACATGAGCAATAATACTGAACGGGGGGTGAAGATGAGATGACCCAAGATCATTCTTTAGGACCTCAAGGGCACGGACAAAACAAACGTTTCACAGAAGGTATTTCTGAGGAGTTGCGGGTTTTACTTTTTAAAGAAAGACACCTTAAGACTGCAGTGAATGTGTGAAAAGAAAAGCTGCCTAGAAAAACAAAGAAAGACATTTCCTGAGATGACTTTGATCCTGTACTCAAATTATTGGCTTAAACATGCTTGTCTTCAAAGGTTTTGTATCTGCAATAACCGCTCTCTTTTGTCATTGCTAACAAAGTATTATTTTCACCTTATTATTACTAATCTTTCTTTTGTAAGTAACCACACCTGGTTTTATCCCCCTCCCAAAGGGAGAAGAAAAAAAAAAAAACTGCAGTAAATATTTGCCTTTTGTGGTAATACAATGCATAATTTAGTTAATCTGGGCTATCTTTCCATGAGAGGTGATTGTTTCTACATTATGAAATGTGTTCACAATGAAGTGAAATCCACGCCAGATACCTGGGAGGCAGACAGAGAGCCACTTACCCAGCATGTAGCTGCCACAAACCAACCCTGACTGACTGCATGGCCACTCCTACACACGGGTGTTACTCATGCTAACTTAGCCTCCGAATCATAACCACACCTTTTTCACAAACATAGGCTTTTTATTAAGGTAACATTACACATCACCGGGCCAAGGGCCCCGCTCCTGTTTCCTTCCCCCATGAAACAGCTTTGGAAAAAATAGAAACTTCAGTTATCCATTTGACAACTTGACGTTACTGTTACATTACCTGGATGAAATCTAGAAATGTCAAGGGAAGCAAGTCATCCATATGTCCAATGTCTTTGGAGAAACGATTTAAAATTCTTCCTGCAAGAACAGGATATGAGAAATTACTCATTTCCCCAGATAGACCCTTTAAGAGAAACAATTCCCAAATAAATCAAAACAATATTTTAAATGCATATGTATTTAATATATTATGCATTCATATGAAATAAGCCAATGTCAATGGCAAAGAAAAAGAAAAGAGGATGATACCTAAAGAGAAATAAAAATACCACCAAATGGTACTAAGCAGGGAATTACAATGTGGCCTTGATTTAAAGGGGGGGGGTGTCTTGTGACAGTGACAGTGACAGTATTTGGAAGGGTTTATGGGATTTATTCACTTTTTTTACTTTTGGTATATGTTTGGGTTGGAGAATTTTAGAACATTTCTCAAATTTTGGTCTCATCCAGGACTTCAATCCAAGTGCTAACTAGGCAGGTGAACAATAGTAAATATTAAATCAATTCTGCTTTAGTTATCAGAATTCTGCTGAGCAGTACATTTTTAAATAAATGTAATTGTAACCTGTTTTTTAGGGGGTTTTTTAGCCAGGATGGTTCACAGTACTTCTATTTTGGGAACACTTGAAATCCTTCCAGGTTGAGAGTATACTACTGTAGCACAAGTCATTATTTTCAGACGGGAGCCAAGTGTGACAAAGGCAAACTGAAATGTCTAAGAAGACAAGAGGAATGCAGGCAGGAAAACGGAAATAATACTTAATGATTAAAGATGACTTCTTATCATTGATTTTATTTCCCCTGTCAAGCGGAATCCAAGAAAATGGTGTATCAATAAAGGCTTTAGAAACACAAGGTTAAAACTATAACTAATAATAAATATCTTCTATCTTTCTGATTTATCTCATTTTGAAAAGTGAAGCTACCCTCACACAGAGCCTATTTTGATGCAGGCAACCCAATAAATGTGCTTGTTGGCCCCTGAGCTTATGTTCTACCTCATGCTTTGGGAAGCCCTGGGTCCTCCTGCCTGTGTCAGTCTGAGAGGACTTCCTCAAACTTTTCACATCTCAAAGCCACTGGACCAGGAATGATCAGGGGCTGAGCTCCCACTGCCTCTGCAGTTCTTACTTGGGGCACCTGGGCTTGGCAAGGAAGCATGAGGTGGGGAAGTCGAGCCATGATTTTCCTGTTTTAGGCTCAGGACATACAGACTCCAAAAAGCATCCCTTCGTGATATCTTGGGCAGGCCCAGTGACAACTTTCTTAGCTCTAATAACACCTCCTTTAGAGCTGTCCCGAGGATTAAATAGGGCATGCCCGAGAAAGAAGCCAGTCACAATGCCAGGCACTTTTTCACAGATGCCCAACAAACAGAATGTGGGATAACGACTATTCCCGCAGGTTCTGCAGCATGCCATCTGGGAAGGAAGTTCAAAGTGTTAAAATGCAGATTCTGACTCAGTGGCTGGGGTGGAGCTTGAGAGTCTGCATTTCTAACAAGCTTCCAGGATGCCCTTCCTGCAGTTTCCCAGATCACACTGGGCGGAGCGAAAGGCTGGACGAGTGTTAATCACACATGTCTGAGGAACACTACAATCAGATGGGCAGTTTTTCCCACCTACTCTTACAGATTTTATAGCCCATTTAGTTATATTTTTAACTTCTCAAAAATCAATACCAAAAGAAAGAAAATCCACACTGACAAAATATTAAATATATAATTAAAATTCTTTCAATGAAATAGTTACAACTTATAAAATATAGGCAAGATTTAGACACAATGGAAGTGTGGTTCTGTGTAAAATGTCAGGAAATACTCAAAATCTTTCTTAAAAAAGATGAAAGTACTACACAGAGAAGATCAGTACATGAAAGTCACCCCCCTTATCTTCTATTCGATATAAGAATCTTAAGGTCTAGGAGACCCAAGATTTGCCAAGGGCATAAAACACAATATAAACACAAATCACCAAGAAAAGCTCTCTCTCCACATAGCTACTTCCATAAGTGAAGTATCAAAGACTGTCCAAAATCCACACTTCTATTCACCAACTACATATAGAAAAGGTGAGATTGGAAAGTTCAATAATTAACACTTCATTGCTCTAAGAAACGAAGAAGTCAGAGAACAGTGTTTGCAGAATATTTTCATCTGGCTTTGCAGGTAGACTATCAAAATCCAAGCTGTGATGTCAAGTTTATGGCCTCATGGTCATTTTCTCAGAGGTCTCCAAATCAAACCTGATGATGAATTCCCTGAATGTTCCTGCCACACCTCTCCATCCCAATGATGTGGCCCCTGCTGAAACGTGTCCAGGATGTAAGGGAAGGGGAGTCAGTTTCCTAGGGGAAGCTCAGTCCATTTTCCAGTGGTTCTGTTACAAAGGGTTTCCATGCATTAAACCTTCCCCGGAACATCCAATTGTTAATTGCTGCTTATTCTGCACTTATAGCTGCTAGAGGGAATCTAATTTCTCTTGATATGACAACTCTTCTAGTAGCCTTTACAGACTTCTCTTGAGAAACTGACCCCTGCTGCCTTGATTACCCTACATCAGACAGATGTTCAGGCTCACTTCATGCCTGGGGCCCAGGACTGAAGTCAATACCCCAGGAGCAGTCTGAACTTCTCAGGGTGAAGTGTGGGCACACCATCTACTCCATTTGCACAGGATATGGCCAATCGCAAAGCCCATAATCAGATCACATTTACCAGATCTCATGTAAGACTCCCATTAAATGAAAACCGACTTCATTCCATGTTTACATGGAGAGGTGGAAACAACCAGGCAAATGTGAAGAAACAACTTTGAGAGTACATTTTTTTCACCTAGAAATTCTGTTTCTAGGAAGCTTGGCCAAGTACAAAGATGCTTAAAATATTCCATTATTTGGTAAGTCAGAGGTAGGAACCAACCTAAATGTCCAAAAAATGTCTATCTTGTGTTGTGGGCAATTTTAATTTCTCTTTTTTATAGTGACTATGATTTGTTGTTGGAGACCACTACAAAGCAGCTCTGAGCATGAAAACCAACTCACTTTTCATGTTTATCTGTGAGGTTGCTCAAGGCCTAGGCCCTTGTCTGGAGATGGGCAGCAGACTCATATAAGTAAACCTCTATGAGTCACTGGTCCCCCCTGAGGTCTGTATTGGCCTGTGAAGTTGGGATGCCTCAAAGGACAAGATAAGGCCTCAGCTGCAGACTTTTGGCTCCAACCCCAATTAACTAAAAGGAAACTGTAGCTACAGACCTCTCACTTCTACAGTGAAGGCCTTCCAGGAGATAACATAGTTCTCCTAAATTAACATAATATATTGGAGTCCTTAAAGGGATTCCGAAGTTCTGCCTAGATTCCTGCATTTTCCTCAGTATTCCCCTCCTTTGTTTGAAAACCTAATAAATACAGGCTGCCCACAGAAATTCTTAGTCTAAAATCCCAGAACCTCAAATTCTGTGAAAGCCAATAACATCCAAGAAATTGAAATATTTAGGAATCCATCTAACAAAAGAAGTCAAAGATCTCTTTAATGAAAACTACAGTACTCTAAAAAAAGAGAT